GGCCGAAGAACCAGCAGTAGATGAGCCCGATGCGCTATCCGACCAGTAAGGAGCCAAGAGGACTCTATAGTACTTACTTATTTATGAAGTTGGCCGTACCTCCAAAGAAAATATCCTTAGAAATGTGTCTTGAATAAGGGGTTTCTCTCCCTGCTGACCTTCCCACAATTGCTTGAGCACAGTCCATCATAGAGTTGATTTATTATGTTATGTCACATCATGGGAGAGGCTTCAACTGCTGAACTACTGAAAATCCTACTCCAGCCAAGTTGACATAAAACCCAACTACCGCAATGAAGAATATCAAGTATACCATGAACTTGTCAGAACAATGAACAAATATGTCTTAGAAAAAGTACAGCCAGAATGCTCTATAGAAAGGAACATGGCAAAATGTCATCTCACTTACTGTGGACATATTACTAAAAGGGACCAGCCACTGGAGAAGAAGATCATGCTGGGAAAAGTAGGTCAAGGAAAAAGAGGAAGGCCCTCAATACCGTAGATTGACACAGTGGCTGCACAGACATGCACTCTAGTATAGCAACAGGATGGCACAAGATCGGGCAGCATTGTGTTCTATTGTAGATAGGGTCACTATGAGTTGGAATTGACTTAACGGTTCCTAACAGGAAACTACAGTTTCCAGAGAAGGCTTGTACTGAATATTTCCCATGTTCAGAAAAAGAAGCCCTGCTAGACCATGTGGGCAGAAAACAAACTTCAAGGAGGAGGCGAGTGGGACCTGGAGAGGGGATGCCTCTTGGTGAGTAGATGTATATGTGGTTCATAAACAGTCTGGCAGAGAATAAGGGGAGGGTCTGAGGATGTAAAGCCAAGTTAGAGCTTAGCCATAGGAAACTGCTGTCAAACATAAATTATTGATGTGGTTTTTAATCTTCTAGTAGCCCCAGTTAAAGGGGGGGGAAGGTGAAATTAATTCTAACAATCTATTTTGTTATGTCACATACTTTCAAAATATCATTTTACTGTATAGAATATATTAACATAAAAATTTTAATATAACTATTTTACTTTTTAAAAAACAACCAAAAAAGCCTTTAGACTCAAAGGGTATTTTATCTTTATAACGTATTTCAACTCAGGCCAGCACTCAATGCCACGAACGGGTTGGTGTCTGGCCAGCAGAGACCTAGTTATTCAGGCAAAAACTTCAGGGAACGGAGACACCACATAACTCAAAGACAATGCCACCAACATCGTGGCTTTGGAGCTCCCGGAGAGGCGTAGGAACCAAAACAATCGTTTGAAGCTCAGGAATTAAGTGGGGGAACCAGAGGGACACTCGAGAGAGAGCAGCCAACTCTTCCCAGCTGTTGAAAGGGAGATAGAAGTCTGATCTATACAGTGGCAGACACAAAGGTTGGGACAGTGTTTCCTTGCCAGCCTCCACTCAGGACCACAACCCAGGAAGGCTGATGATATGATGGCATACCAAAGTAGCAGAGGCTGGTGTCCTACCTCATGGCATCTAGAGAGAGAGCGCGGGTACGTGGTGGAGGAGGAGGCAGGGTCCTGGAGACAGCCTCATGAGGTTCTGCAAACCAGCAGATACTCCAAAAGAATGCAGAAAAGCCGGAAAATCAAGCAAGTCAGAAGATAGGTGGGGGCAGTATAAGGAGTCAGGGTGAAACCTAAGGCCGTGTTTGACTTTCAGGAAGAAACTGAAGTGGAAAACCAGTGACGTACGCCTAAACAGAGCTTTGCAATGACAGAGGAATTGACTCCCAAATGATGTCCTTCCCAATGCCCAGCTTAGATTTCCCCAGGTAGCACTGCCATTCCAACTCAGGGACCCAATAGGACAAATTGGAACTGCCCCTTTAGGTTGTCCAAGACTGTAAGTCCTTATGGGAGCAGATAGCTCGTCTTTCTGCCTTGAAGTGACTGGGGAATAAAACTGCCGACCTTATGATTAGTAACCCAATGGGTAATCCACTTCCCCACCCAGGTGGCTGTGTGCACATGAAAGCTGGACAGTACATAAGGAAGAGTAAAGCACTGATGTCTTTGAAACATGGTGTTGGTGAAGATTATTGAATATACCATGGACTGTCCGAAGAACAAACAAATCTGTCTTGGAGCAAGCACAGTCAGAATGAGATAGGGCGAGGATAGTAAGACCGTGTCTCACATTGGGCAGGTCATCAGGTGAGACCAAAATGGGCATCCTATTGGTTGCGTAGTACCACTGCCATCAAGTTTATTCTGACGCATAGTAATCCTGTATCGAGGTACTGAGGCTGTAAACATTAACAGGGGCAGATTGTCTGCAGAGCAGCTGGTGAGTTTGAACTACCATCCTTGCGGTTAGCCTTCCAGCACTTATCTAACAACAAGGAATAGCAGAGGGTCGTTAAAAAAGAGGGAAACCTTCAGTGAGATGAATTGACACAGTGGCATCATATAACAATGGGCTTAACCGTAACAGAGATGAGGATGGCACAGTACTTAGGGTTGCTATGATTGGAACTTACTTGACAGCCCCTAACAACACAAGCAGAGACGTGGCATGCTGGTAACTATTCAGCCGAAAGGTCTTCATACAAGAAAAAGAACATCCCAAGGGCCAGCTTCTCCTGGGCCAAATATTAACTTTTTCCCTACAGCCCTGATACTTCGATGCTTACAATTTCCCCACTATTCATTCACGTCGTTGTCTTAAGCATTCTATGAAGACTTCACAGGGGTTGGGGTGGGGGACAGTGGGAAGGAGATCACCACCATCATCAGCCCAAGGTTGATTTCTATGAATTGGCATCAGCCACGTGCCTCTCTCAGCAGCCTTTTTACCAGTTCCCACACCCAACCTTCACTCCCACAGTATGCTCTTCTTCTTAACTGGGTTTTACAGTTGATTGCAATGGTCACTCAGAACTCAAAGAGAACACTCAAAATTATGGGGCTTATTAGAGAAGTTAACCAGTTACAATTCAGGATTAGAAAGGCTCAGGGCATAGTTCTTCCACTAGGAGAGCTTCTTCTCAGTTGTGCCCACGGGCACTATATTGAAATTATACCTTAATATAAATATAAGTATACTTGAACAACAAAAACTCCCCACATACAATTACAGAAACATTAAATCACTGCTCGTAGAAGCTAGAAGAGTAGTTACCTCTGGGTGGGGATAACTTTTATAGGTGAGAGAATATGTGAACCATCTAGATCAGCATTCTCAACCTGTGGGTCGAGAGTCTTTTGGGGTTTGAACGACCTTTCACGGGGGTTGCCTGTTCCATACCAGTAGCAAAATTACAGTTATGAAGTGGCAATAAAAATAATTTCATGGTCGGGGTGGGGGGTGGGGTTTCACCACAACATGAGGAACTGTATGAAAGGGCTGTGACATTAGGAAGGTTGAGAACCACTGATGGCCGATGTCTGATGGCTGCATCTGGGTGGTAGTACCGTATATACTCGTGTATAAACCGAGTTTTTCAGCACATGTTTAATGCAGCTTTGTGGTAAAATTAGGTGCCCGGCTGATATTCGGGTTGGCTTATACTGGAGTACATATGGTATATGGGTAAAAGTATACGTAAGAACGCACTGAGCTGAATATAATATCGATGCACTTAATACAAGTTGCCATAGGTGTGTTAACACAATAAAGAAGCAAAGTTCATAATCATTAGTTTAAATGTTATCCTCTAATTAGCCTTGCCCCTCTCATTACCATCTTGTGATGGCTCCATCTCTCTTATCTGGGGGGGAGGGGGGAGCATAAAATCTACCTTAATTGTGAAACACCAGTTTCTGACAATACCACCCATTGGACATTAAGTTGATGTGTAGATAGGGTGATGCTCAAAATATTTAACAACTGGTTCCATGTAATTTACAGAGGACATTGATGGTGATTCAGTGGTTAGAATTTTCACCTTCCATGGGAGACACTTGGGTTCAGTTCTCAGCCAATGCATTTCATGTGTAACTTGTGCTTGCCTGTTGGCAGAGATTTCATTATGCTCCGATGCTGAACAAGTCCCAGCAGCCCTTCCAAACGGGGGTGGATTAGGAAGAAAGGCCTGGAGGTTTACTTCTGAAACCCAGCCAATGTTCTGATCCAGAGCCTGCCATGGGATGGCACCGGGCCTGGGCAGCATTTCATTCTGTTGTATTGGTCACCACGAATCAGGGACCAACTTAACAACATAGAAGAGCGCTTCTCCCAGAAAATGCTCAATCAGATTAGATAGCACCTGGAAACCACCCATGCAGTGTACTGGTACAAAGCAAACAGATTTTTAGCTGTACAAACACACAGACACTTCCTAGTCTCTTTAGGTGTTTCTGCAACACATTCGTGTCTAATAGAGACAGACTTGGAAAAAAGAAGGGAATTGAGTCATTGTTGGTGCCCTCGCTTGAATTGGTGCCCACTCTCATACGCCATGTGAGTTCTCAGGCTCATTTGCATAGATTCGCTGTCTTTGGGTTTGGTTTGGGAATGTTGCCCATCCTCTCCTAACCTTCTAAGCATCCGCTTTCTAATAGCTCCATAAACACACATAAAAGAATGGTTGATTTTACTGGATAGGACCAGAATTCGTAGGCTGGGAATGTCATTTCAAAACCTATATCTCCATACTCTGATGTAGACCCTCGCTCTTACTCCATATGCCAGTGCCGCTGGCACCCTGACAGGGACAGGCAAGAGCCCACAGACGCTCCTTCATGGCCATGGAGGTGGATGATCAACTCCAATTTGGGCAGCCTGTTCACATCTGTCAGCCCTGGGTGTTAGAGCACTAATAATGGCTGCTCTGAGAAATTCCATTTGCTTGCCATTTGTGGACCCTTGAGGCTGCCCAAGCATGAGGGGTCAGTCACACTGAAGCATATGACCACCTGCCAGGCTGTAGCTTTGCTGTCCAGTCGCCTTGCAGGGGCAGGTGGCAGGGCTGCCGTATAGCAAGAGTGGGGGAAAGAGAGAGAGGGAAAAGAAGGTAGAGAAGAAACAAAGTACAAATTACCTTGTTAAAACCTTTGGTGACCAAATTGACTGCAAGTTCATGGCTGACCCCATCCACCCAGCTAACATCTTTTTCTCCGATGGGTTCAGAGAGGAAAGCTCTGAGCTTTGGAGACAAATTATCCATCTTCTGCAAGAGCAATGGGGAGGAAAAGGATTAGGAGGTGTCTGACTGTTTTCAACGTGAATGGACATTGGGGAACTCCCTTAGTCTGGGCCTGATAGATGGCAGGCTTCCTTCTATTACATTTTTATCAGAGAGTTCTTGATGCCAGGTGCAGTGCCCTGGAGTCCACTCCCACCTGGACAGGGTGGGAGATTTCTAATGAGGGCCACAGACAAGTCACATGCATCCTCATGGAAAGGATATGCTTCATGTTAAGGACCGCAGCAGACTCCTTTCCAAAACTTTCCACTTTAAATACTTAAACATTTGGCTTATTTTAGCTAATTTACCTTCTCACTTCACCTTAGAAAAGAGGAGGGTGAGACTATGTCACCCTTACTTTGGACATGTTATCAGGAGACTCCATTACCTGGAGAAGAAAGACCAGCATGCATGGTAAAGCAGAAGGGCAGCTGAACGGGGGAAGACCCTTGCTGAGGGGGATTGCTACCGTGGCTGCAAAAATGGGTGCAAACCTAACGATTGTGGGGATGGCCCGGGACCAGGTTTCATTCTTTCATTCTTTTGTACCGACGGTCACTCCGAGTCAGAAATAACTCGACAGCACCTACCAGCAGCTCAATGAACAAGCCATTATTTAGCAGACTCCATAAGAACTCGTTTTGTTGCAAGCAACAGAACACATGCTAGATCAAAAAGGTTTATGTCACTCAGAAGTCCAAGGGTAGGGTGTACTTCAGGTATGTTATGCTCAGGTGGTCTTTTCTCTCTGAATCTTTCAACGTTTCTTCTTTTTGTCCTTATCCTCCATTAGTTCCTCTTACAATCATAAAAGGAGTGCACCAGCACACACATTCTCCAATATCTTTTCCACAAGAGAGAGAAATAAGAGAAAAAGAGTAGAGGCTTCATCCAGTCTGTAAGGTGGCTAGTCTGAGCTTAGGTGTGAGCCAGATGCCCCGTTACTGGATTTGAGTAGATGCAGAGTTGTATTGTCCTAAACTAGATGAGTTTTAAGTCCTGGATTATTGTCCAGAAAAGGGGAGATGGGTGTTAAAGCCACCACTACAATTTTCTACTATGATCTATGCCTTGCTGTTTACGGAGATCACCCAACAATGGTTCCAGCAGTACATTGACAGGGAACTGCCAGTGATTAAGCCCAGATTCAGAAGAGGATGTTGAACAAGAGATATCATTGCTGATGTCAGATGGGTCTTGAATGAACACAGAGAACACCAGAAATATGTTTACTTGTGTTCTACTGACTGTTCAAAGACATTTGACTGTGAGGACCATAATAAAGTATGAATTGCCTGAGAAGAATGGGAATTCCAGAACACTTAATTGTGCTCATCTAGAACCTGTACATGGATCAAGAAGCAGTTATGCAAACAGAATAAGGGGATACTGGATTGTTTAAAATTGAGAAAGGTTTGCATCAAGGTTTTTTCATCTCATCATACTTATTCAATCTGCATGCTAAGCAAATAATCCGAGAAGGTGGTGTATATGAAGAAGAATGTGAAATCAGGATTGGAGGAAGGCTTATTAACAGCCTACGATATGCAGATGACACAACCTTACTTGCTGAAAGTGAGGAGAATGTGAGGCATTTGCTGATGAAGATCAGGGATTTCAGCCTTCAGTATGGATTACAACTCAATGTAAAGAAAACCAGAATCCTCACAACTGGACCAACATCATGATCAATGGAGAAAAGGTTGAAGTTGTCAAGGAATTTGTCTTGCTTAGATCCACATGCCTGAATCCACAATCCATGCTCATGGGAGCAGTAGTCAAAAGTTTGAACACATTGCATTAGGTAAAATATATTGCACAAGACCTCTTTAAAGTGTTAAAAGGCAAGGATACTATTTTGAGGACAGAAGTATGCCTTACTCGAATCACGATATTTCCAATTGCCTCACATGCATATGAAAATTGGACAACAGATAGATAAGACCACAGAATAATCAATACATTTGTATTATGGTGCTGGTAAAGAATACTGGAAGTGCCTCGGCTGCCAAAAAAACAAACAAATCCATTTTGGAAGAAACACATCCACAGTGCCCATGAGAAGGGAGGATGGCCAGACTTCATTGCATGTACTTTGATCATGTTACCAGGAGATACTAGTCCCTGGAAAAAGACATAATATTTGGTAAAGTAGGTTAGTGAAAAAGAAGAAGACTCTCAAGGAGATAGACTGGGGAAATGGTTTAGTAATAGACTCCAACGTAACAAGTATTGTCAGGGTGGCTCAGGACTGGGCAGGATATCATGATGTTGTCTATCGGTCCAGTGGTGAGGGTCTTTGGTTTCTTTACATTGAGTTGTAATCAATATTGAAAGCTGCAATCTTTGATCATCATCAGCAAGTGCTTCAAGTCCTCCTCTTTCAGCAAGCAAGGTGTTGATATCTGCCTATTGGAAGTTGTTAGTAAGCCCATCCTGATGACATGTTCTTCTTCATATATTCCAGCTTCACAGATTATTTATTCAGCATCCAGATTGGAAAAGTATGGTGAAAGGATTCAACCTTGATACAGATCTGTCATGATTTTAAACTATGAAACATTATCTTGTGTTCAAAGGACAACCTCTTAGTCTATGTACAGGTTCACCATGAGCACATTAAGTGTTCTGGAATTCAGATTCTCAACGTCATTCATAGTTTATTATGATCCATACAGTCGAATACCTTTGCATACTCAATAAAATGCAATAAAACATCTTTCTTGTATGCTCTGCTTTCATTCAAGATCCATCTAACACCACCAATGATATCCCTTATGACATGGCCTCTTCTGAATCCTGCTTGTATCTCTGGCAGCCTTCTGCTGGTATACTGCTGCAACCAGTGTTGAATGAGTTCCTGCATGTGATATTAATAATGTTGTCTAATAATTGCTGTATTGTTTGGTCACCTTTTGGATGAGAACAAATATGAATCTTTTCCAGTTGGCTGACCAGGTGGGCCAGATTCAAGTTTCTCGGCATAGACTAGTGAGTGCTTCCAGTGGTTCATTATCACACTGGAACATTCCCAATGGTATTCTGTCCATTTCTGCTGCTTCTTTCAGTATAATCAGTTCTTTCTCATACGCTACCTCTTAAAATGGTTGAGTGTTAAATATTTCCTCTAGGTAGAGTAACTGTGTATACCTTCTATCTTCCATTGATACATTCAATATTGTACCTATATAATCCTTCAATATTTCAAAGTGAGGCTTGAATTTCTTTACATTTGAGATATGCTGATTGTGTTCTTCTTGTTTAGTTTTCTAACCACAAGTATTTGCACATTTTATTATAATACTTTATTTTCTTGAGCTGTCCTTTGAAAGATTCTGTTTAGCTCTTTGACTTCATCATTTGCCTTAGCTACTCTACATTTGTCAGTTTGTCATACTGGGGTGGCTTGTGTGTTGCTGTGATGTTAGTAGTTGTGATGTCACTGGTATAGCAGCCAAATAATAATGAGAGAGAGAAGGAAAAAAGAGAGAGAGACAGGGGTGGCGGGGGAAGAGGGCACTAACCCACCCAAGGGGGGGGGGTGTTGTTTATATCTCCACAGGAGAGAGCGAGAGGGACTAGACTTCAACCCGGCATGCCAAGACATGAATGCAACATACAGGCATGAACAATGGAGCCAACAGACAGGTCAGCGGGGCTTCCTCCCAATTCCAACTTGGTGAGCACCCCCCACCCCAGAGGGATGCACTTCAGAGGACAGCACTGAAGCTGCAGCTCAGGAAGTGGGGCACTTCTGGACAGGAGCAAACGAAGAGGGAAGGAGAGAGTAGAACTCATCCTGGCCACCAAGCCCTGAGGACACTATTCTGGCTCCGAGCAGCCAAGACACAGAGGAAATCACAGGGCCGGTCCCATCACGAGTCCCTCACTGACACGGAATGCTAAGGGGGACAGGGTAGGAGATGTGCCCAACCTGACCCCACTGCACCAGGATGAGCACTAACGGTGTACATCGGAGCAGCAAGGGGAGCAAAGCAACAAAGTCCCTGAGGAATGCCAAAGGTGGACTTGGGGGCCAGGGCATTGCACCCCAGCAGACTCTACCGGAAAACACTCATAAAGCTCAATGGACAGTCCTGATCCTGGAACACTTGATGGATTTTCAGTTTTTACTGTTGGTTTTTCTTTTTCTCTTTATTTATTTTTTTGTTTTGCTGTCTTAGCTGTTGTTGATTTATTTGTTTGTCTTCTTTTTTTGGTTATGTTTTGCTCCGCTTTGTTTTTGCGCACATTATTGTCTATGCATGTCTAACTGGACAAGATAGGTGGGATGAACAATCTGGAGGAGAGAACAATGGGACCAAAGGTTCCCTGGGTGGCATGGGAGAGGGAGAGATGGAGGGAAAGGAGGGGGGTGCCAACAAACCCAGGGATAAGGGAAGAATAAGTGAACTAAAATTGATGGTGAGGAGGTCATAGGGTGCTTGGGGTGGGGGTGGGGGGCTCAATCAAGGGCAATATAGCTGACAGGAATTACCAAAACATGAATGAAGTCTGAACATGATAGTGGAATGGGAGGAAAATAAAAGGAAATAGAGGAAAGAACTGGGAGGCATAAGACAGTTATAGAGGTCTAAATACAGGCATGTATATTTGTAAATACATTTATATATGATGACAGGGGAATAGAGCTATGTACATATATTTATAAAGTATTCCGGTAGCAGATGGACATTGGGCCTCCACTCAAGTACTCCCTCAACACAAGAACAATTAGTTCTACTAACATGGCACTCTGTGATGTTCACCTTCCCTGACATGATCACTGAAGACAAAATGGGTACATAAGCAAATGTGGTGAAGAAAGTTGATGGTGCCTGGCTATCAAAAGATATAATTTCTGGGTTCTCAAAGGTTTGAAGACAAACAAGCAGCCATCTAGGTGAGAATCAACAAAGCCCACATGTAAAAAGCACACCAGCCTGTGTGATCATGAGGTGACGATGGGATCAGGTATC